GTTAAGAATAAGTCGAAGACAGAAAAGGAAAATCCAGGAAAACAAAACAAAGATAATTATAAGTATGATATGTACAATAAACACCTGTATAATTAATACTGCATATTATCTTAGTGAAAATATATGTTATAATAAAAGTTTCCATTCTAATGGTTATTATTAAGTAAATAATAATGCTAATGACTATCAATGGATATGTATGGATAAAGATAATCATATCAATATTATTAACCCTTTCAAACAGATATTTTTGTACCATATAAACCACATAAAAAAAAAAAAAATCTAAAAAAAGACATATCAACATCGATTTTGGCTCCGAAGCTAATACTGTATTTGATTACGTTTCATAGCAGCTGTCCTTTGAGCCATAGCAGTCCATAGCATTTCTTAAAAGACGGCGAAAGTCAGTTGGATTTGGTCCTTAGCCAAGGGGGGGGGGGGGGGGGGGGGGTCAGAAGCGAGGGGGGGGGTCGTGTTGGAGTTTTGTGTTGGGTGCGAGTGGTTCTCCGGTTGTGTGTTTGTTGTTTGTTTTCTTGCTTTCTTTGTTTTAGTTTTGTTTTTTTTATTTTTTAGTTTTTTCCTTTTTTGTTTGTTTTTTTTCTTATTTTCTTTTTTTTTTTCCTCACTTTCTTTGTTTTCCTTCTTACTTTCTTGGTTATTTTTCTTTTTTTCTTGCTTGATTTAGCTTTCTTTTTCTCTTCTTTTTTTTTCTTTTTGTTTTTTTTTTTTTTTTTTTCTTTTTCTTTTTCTCTCTCTCTTTTCTTTCTTTCATTCTCTTATCTTTTTCGTCCTTTCTTTCTTTCGTCTTTCACGTCCTTTTTCTTTCTTGCTCTTAATTTTTCTTTCTGATTTTGCTCACTTTTGCTATTTTCTCTTTTTCTTCCTTTATCTCTTTCTTGCTCGCTATAAAGCCATTCTCGTCATCAAAGAGGAAGTCGAAGAAGAAGAAGACGAGGAAGACATCGAAAACGAAGAAGAAAAGAAGAAGTAGAGAAGAAAGAGGAAGAGAAGGAGAAGAAGAAGAAGAAAAAGAGAAGAAAATAGAAGCAAAAGATAATAATAAGACGATGAGAATCAGAAGGAATAAGGAGGAGAAGCAGCAGCATATGAAGAAAAAGAAGAAGAAGAAGGAAAAGAAAAACAAGAAGAAGGAGGAGGAGAAGCAGAAGAACAATAATAAGAGACGAAGGGAATCAGAATAAAAAGGAGGAGAAGCAGAAGCATGTGAAGAAAATAAGGAGAAAATGAAGAAGAAGAAGAAGAAAGAAGGATAAAGGAGAAACCGGCCAGCCAAGCAAACACGCCTCCCAAGATTCCCTCTCCCGGAGTGAAGGCAAAGCGAATTCCAAAACAAAACGAACTTAAAATGGGACCACCAAGTTGAATAAGCTCGAGGATCCAACCGTGAACGAATAATGTGCTAACTTATGTAATTCAGTTTGCACCAGCGCCCGGGGAGCCGTTGTTCTGAAGGGACGGTTCGCGAATCGTATTTTGGATAAATATGAATGGCGGTACATACACAGACGACACATTGGGGTGTAAATATATGTATGTGTGTGTGTGATATAATATATATATATATATATATATATATATATAATATATATATATATATATATATATATATATATATATATATATCATATATATATATATAATATATTTATAAATGCATATAATGTATGCATGTATGCATGTATGCATATGCATATAAGCATAAATATACTTATGTACATTATGCATTTATTTGTTCATTAATCTATGTATACATTCTCTTTCTTTTTCTTTTTTCTATTCATTTAAATGTGCATGTTTGGTTAAAAGTGTAAAAGTTGATGTTTCGTGTGTATACATGTATGTATAGATGTTTGCGTACATGTGCACGCATATATGTGCGTTTAATGCCCCTGCACATTAGCCACATATCACCTCATCTGGATCCCCCCTGTTGGAAGAAACAAAGGGAAACGCGGTACCTTTTCCGATACCAACAATAAGGACCAAATATTTATGAATAAGGTATTCGGGGATGAATATTTGAGAGCTGCACGTACCTTCCTCCACGTGCGGACCTTTGCACGCTGGTTGCTATATACATGTATGTAAATACCTTCGTACCTGTATATGTTGGTTACCTTTTTAGTTGTTATTGTTAGATATACATTAACACATACGCGTATAGATATTCGTAAGCATGAACATACACATATAGACTTATATACAAACAAATATACATGACATATACCATACACAAGTTGACACACACATAGATAAAGACAGCTTGGCTTCTTATATATGTATGAAGTAATGAATTAAAAAAACACCCTTACCACAAGTAGACATAAGACAGATAGTACTCCAAAAGGAAATAGAAGGTACACATAAAACATCAAAGGAGGATAAAGAACGACGTAAATAATAAAGAAAAATAAACAAAATACAGAGAATTACTCATCATCCACCCACCCCCTAAAAAAAATCCAAACTCAGAAAAGAACTATATTATATATGAAAAAATCGTATATGAAAACGTAACATATAAAGAAAATTAAAAGAACAAAAAAAAAAAACATACAACACAAATACCCTTCAAAAAATAAGATAAAATAAAAATAACATCATAAAGAAGAAGAAGAAGAAAAAAAAAAGAAGAAGAAGAAGAGAAGAAGATGAGAAGAAGAAGAAGAAAAGAAGAAAAGAAGAAGAAGAAAAGAAAAAAGAAAAGAAAAAAAGAAAAAAGGAAAAAAAGAAAAGAAAAGAAAGAAAGAAAAGAAAACATAAGGAAACAAAATTACCTGACGCACGGTTGGCCCCAAATCTCGCCCCAATTGCACTCAATCAGCTTCCCCTTTTCATCCCCCAACAGAGCATCACCCAAGAACAGTCGCTGAGATGGGCGTGGGAGAATCTGGAGAAGGGGAGCTCCGGTGGGCGGCTGAGATGGGCGTGGGAGAATCTGGAGAAGGGGAGCTCCGGTGAGATGGGCGTGGAATCTGGAGAAGGGGAGATCTCCGGTGGGCGGCTGAGATGGGCGTGGGAGAATCTGGAGAAGGGGGAGCTCCGGGGGCGGTGAGATGGGCGTGGGAGAATCTGGAGAAGGGGAGCTCCGGTGGCGGCTGAGATGGGCGTGGGAGAAATCTGGAGAAGGGGAGCTCCGGTGGGCGGCTGAGATGGGCGTGGGAGAATCTGGAGAAGGGGAGCTCCGGTGGGCGGCTGAGATGGGCGTGGGAGAATCTGGAGAAGGGGAGCTCCGGTGGGCGGCTGAGATGGGCGTGGGAGAATCTGGAGAAGGGGAGCTCCGGTGGGCGGCTGAGATGGGCGTGGGAGAATGGGAGGGGGAGAGCTCCGGTGGGCGGCTGAGATGGGCGTGGGAGAATCTGGAGAAGGGGAGCTCCGGCTGAGATGGGCGGCTGGAGAAGGGGAGCTCCGGTGGGCGGCTGAGATGGCGTGGGAGAATCTGGAGGGGGAGCCGGTGGGCGGCTGAGATGGGCGTGGGAGAATCTGGAGAAGGGGAGCTCCGGTGGGCGCTGAGATGGGCGTGGGAGAATCTGGAGAAGGGGAGCTCCGGTGGGCGGCTGAGATGGGCGTGGGAGAATCTGGAGAAGGGGAGCTCCGGTGGGCGGCTGAGATGGGCGTGGGAGAATCTGGAGAAGGGAGCTCCGGTGGGCGGCTGAGATGGGCGTGGGAGAATCTGGAGAGGGGGAGCTCCGGTGGGGCGGCTGAGGGCGTGGGAGAATCTGGAGAAGGGGAGCTCCGGTGGGCGGCTGAGAGGGCGTGGGAGAATCTGGAGAAGGGGAGCTCCGGTGGGCGGCTGAGATGGGCGTGGGAGAATCTGGAGAAGGGAGCTCCGGTGGGCGGCTGAGATGGGCGTGGAAATCTGGAGAAGGGGAGCTCCGGTGGGCGGCTGAGATGGGCGTGGGAGAATCTGGAGAAGGGGAGCTCCGTGGGCGGCTGAGATGGGCGTGGGAGAATCTGGGAGAGAGCTCGGTGGCGGCTGAGATGGGCGTGGAGAATCTGGAGAGGGGAGCTCCGTGGCGGCTGAGATGGGCGTGGGAGAATCTGGAGAAGGGGAGCTCCGGTGGGCGGCTGAGATGGGCGTGGGAGAATCTGGAGAAGGGGAGCTCCGGTGGGCGGCTGAGATGGGCGTGGGAGAATCTGGAGAAGGGGAGCTCCGGTGGGCGGCTGAGATGGGCGTGGGAGAATCTGGAGAAGGGGAGCTCCGGTGGGCGCTGAGATGGGCGTGGGCTCCTCCGGTGGGCGGCTGAGATGGGCGTGGGAGAATCTGGAGAAGGGGAGCTCCGGTGGGCGGCTGAGATGGGCGGGGAGATGGGGAGGGGAAGATCTTGGGAGAAGGGGAGCTCCGGTGGGCGGCTGAGATGGGGCGTGGAGAATCTGGAGAAGGGGAGCTCCGGTGGGCGGCGGTGGGAGAATCTGGAGAAGGGGAGCTCCTGGGCGGCTGAGATGGGCGTGGGAGAATCTGGAGAAGGGGAGCTCCGGTGGGCGGCTGAGATGGGCGTGAGGGAATGGGGGACTCGTGGGCGGGGATGGGCGTGGGAGAATCTGGAAGGCTGAGATGGGCTCTTCCGGTGGGCGGCTGAGATGGGCGTGAAGGGAATAGGGATTAGAGAGCTCGGGGCGCTGAGATGGGCGTGGGAGAATCTGGAAGAAGGGAGCTCCGGTGGGCGGCTGAATGGGCGTGGGAGAATCTGGAGAAGGGGAGCTCCGGTGGGCGAGAGCTCGGTGGGCGGCTGAGATGGGCGTGGGAGAATCTGGAGAAGGGGAGCTCCGGTGGGGGGCTGAGATGGGCGTGAGGGAATAGGGATTATGAGAGCTCGGTGGGCGGCTGAGATGGGCGTGGGAGAATCTGGAGAAGGGGAGCTGAGATGCCGTCCGGTGGGCGGCCTGAGATGGCGCGTGGGAGAATCTTGGAGAAGGGGAGCTCCGGTGGGCGGCTGAGATGGGCGTGGAGAATCTGGAGAAGGGGAGCTCCGGTG